AGATAAAAAATTAGAACGTAAGGTTCGATAATGAACTATAGTCGAATTTAGACTTAGCCCCTGTGTGGAGGTTCCAAAAGGAGTGGACCGATATTCCCCATCTTCGAATTTGAACTAAGCTTGGAAGAAATAATAAGATGGGCAAAGTTTGGATGAAATCTTAATTTTCTGAAACGGATTTGGTCCAAAGAAACATGGAGTCTAGAACCAATATTTTGATGAGGCACATTTTTACCGTGTTAAAGTGTATACACCCTAATTAGCCATAAGGCTGAGGGTATAATTATCCATTAAAAATTTCTGAAATTTGTATTATGGTTTACATAATCCGTTTTCCGAAATGTCGGTATAGGTCCACTTTTTGGTATGTTCCTATGTTTTCATTTCTAGTACCTGTCAGTATATCTATGGTGGAGGGTATCCAAAGTTCGGCACGGCCGAACTTAACGCTTTTTCACTTGTTTGTGTTTACAACGGTTGTAAACTATTTTTGTGTAACTAAAAGTTTTACATTTACACGCAAAACCCAAGAAAAGGAAAACAAATCATAATATTGTACCAAGACGAATGAAATTGGATTAAACCCCTTTTTAACGCTGTTGTTGGTATTTTTGTGAATATACAGTATTAAATGTTCGTAAAAATCGTATGAATTATTCGATGCCAAAAATATATCGACACTTGATTCTATATTGACTACTTACAATTTACACCATACTGTGTTACAAGTTGTAACATATATGTGTACACTTGTTTTGTGCCGCACATAAGGAAACAATTTAGATCAATACATTTCAGGATATACTTCTTTTGGGTCGATTTATTTTGAAAATAATTTAAGACATTCAACACATTAGTATGAAACATTTCACATCTCAATGTATTGGCTCAATGACAGCTTTTTCTGTCAACTCGTATAAAAAGTCACTCGGCTTTAGTATTTAATACGCTTTGGAAAGTATTTATAGACAACACACAACAGTGGGAAAGATGTGGTATTGTTTGTAAATGCCTTGTTAACCTCGACGTGAGGCTCCAGCGAAATTCTCATGCAGTTTATGTCGTTGGTCAGCTAAGTACTTCGCTTTGTTACAAGAGACATTTGGGTATGAAAGGTTTTTTGTATAGAAGCAATAGCTTCTGGGGAGAATATCCCAACAAAAAACTAAGGGAACTGATGAGGATCAGTGGCGTGATCTGAAACTATAGTCTTCCCTGCCTTACCCCTCGGCAAACAATGCCATACATTCCCCACTAATAAATAGTTGTTGTTTTTTTTTTATAAAAACAACAAACTGGGATGAAGCCTGACTATTTTGCAAAAACAAAATACAAATGGTATCCCAAATAAACCGCCAACACTACTGTATTTATAGAACCACCAAAAAAAGGAGATGAATTACTAAAATGCTGGCTATTTGAATGTAAGGATCTCCATTGAAAATAATATTCCACGTGTTATTTAATTTTTTGGGATCCCGAGATGAACTACTAAAATACTGGCTATTTCAATGTAAGGATCTCCATTGAAAATAATATTCCACGTGTTATTTAATTTTTTTGGGATCCCGAAATTTCTTCCTTGATAAAAATGAGTTAGAACCATAAAACTGCCTAAAATGTGTTGGGGGACCTTCATTTGACAATTTTCTGCAAATATCCGAAATGCATACTTTGCTACAGTGCCAGAAAAATAAAGCTTGAATCATCGAAAGGAATTCGTCCAAGCAAGTACCTATATTTTAACCAGTGAGCGGAGCAGTATAGTCGGACGGCGGACGACCATACGATTCCCTACACAACTACCAAGGAACTCTAACTTTCTGCGGATGTTTATTCCGAGCCTGAGCAATATTTCGTAATATTTGCCGCGACTTGCTCGATTAGAGGTCAACAGCACATTTTCCGAATATTATAAATATTCAGTACAGCCCTTCTAGTTACTTGCCAAGGTTCCCTTCACGGTGGGTTGTGTTGTGATGTTCGGCCTGTATTCGGCTATAAAACACACAAAAAAATCGGTCCACTTCATCCCAAAATTTTATTCTGATCATCATCGAAAATTATAGGCGTTGTCCTTGACCATATTTGGAACTTCATTGAAAATTTCAAAGCGATCAACGCTATATATCTCCGCCCTCTAATGTGGTAATGGGTTACTAAATAATATCTGAATACGTAAGCACCTGTAAATATTTAAGGTATTGGTATCAATTGAAAGGTCAACCACTCCTCTTGGATATACTATCATCTTATCGGATCTATATTCTTCAGGAGTAAATATATATGCCACAGAATTCAAATTTTGTAATTTTTCACACAAAAGTCAGAGTCCAAATTGACCCTCTAAATAATGACCGATCTTTCACAAAGCAGACATGCTTATTCTTTGGCCCAATTTCCTTCTCCATGTAAAATTTTGCAATATCCGGACCATAATTGCGGCCTCTGGAGCGAATAGAAAAACCGACAAAAAGTAAGTATTTGGTCCATTTCATCCCCTAAATATTAAACGATCTATACCAAAAACAATTGGGGTCTTCATTGGCCAGAACCCATCCTACATGCGAATTTTCGTGAACATTGGTGCATAACTGTGGCCTATATCGTGTTTACAAATTATAATGGACAGACGGACGGACGGATACACATGTCTATATTGACTCAGCTAGTCGAGATATGACGATCGGTATACTTAAAGGTGGGTCTAGGACCCATATTTCGCGGCGTTACAAACTCTTTGGGCTGCACAAAGCTATAATACCCTGGCAACATAGTTGTGTAGGGTATAATAATTTTGTACATTTGAACCCTTAAAGAAAAAAATAAAATAATAGAACTTCAAATCACTGTTACTGTCATAATTATTGAAAAATGAGGCAAGAATCATCAAAATACCTGAAATGAAACCATGAAATCATTTTTCAAGCTACATCGTTAGAATAATGAGGCTTTTACTAACAGAATACCTAAAATACGGGGCCCATATATGAAGACTGTGTCCAAACATGGACCTATATTGAAAATATTTAGATAACACCTATTATCACTACAAAGAGCCTAAAATGACAAATTAGATGTTCGCTTGATAAATTTAGGTCATAAAAAAAACTTTGGGTCATTAAAAAAAAACTCAAAAAACCTCTTATATGGAGGCTATATAAAAACTGGAGGATGTGACCAAGTGGTCTTAAGTCTGAGCGTTATTACTACTGCCGATCAAATAATATGAGATTTCTTTACACCGCCATCTCCATGGAAATCGGGTCAGGGACTTTAACTAATGTTTTATTTTTTTGGATTAAAAACTATCAAAAAAAAAGTTTATAAGGTCGTCACATATGTCGAATCAGGGTTCAGATTCATGAAAGTATTTTTTAAAAGAATAATTTTTAAGCAAATCTGAAGTCTTCTTTGAAATCAAAAAACGAATACCATGGCAACACGAGCCAGATCCACTTTGACAGGTTTATACGTGCAATTGCTTAATCATCTGCCATACATCCCCGATTTGGGACCCTAATGACTTCTTTCCGTTGGATCCCAACCAATCGCTCAAAAAACAGTCTCGAGGCTATAGATGCAAAGAAAGAGACAATATAAATTCATAAAATCGTCACAGGCGATCTGTGAGACTTCGAAGTCAACCACTTCAAATTAGCGTCATTTTCACCGGTAAAAACGTGAAATCGGTGGATCATCCGCCATGATATGGCAGTCAACGATTTCTTCTTCTTGCCGCACATTAAAAAACTAATGGTCAACAATTTAGCTTGCCAAAAGATACAACTGAAGTGTTCATAATCCACGTTTGGCAGGTGGCTCAGCTTGAGTGGAAAACCGCTTATAATTCGCCATAGGTAAAGATTTTTAGTTACGGTCTGATGGTTTTTGGTTGGTAATTCTTAAGTTCATGAAGAATAAAACTCTATATCTTTGACAAAATCGATAGTTTTATTCAGATATAACCCCTAAAGACCCGATCCTTGCTCAGAAAACCTTAAATATTAAATAAATTTATTCAGATTCGACTGAAATGTTTTCCACAAATATCATTTACAAGATTTCTAAAATTTAAAGTAGGTGTCTTCGTTATCTATTTTCAATTTACCTCAATAATAGATATCGGTTCCACAAACACCAATAAAACTACTACTCCATATGAACATGACAAGGCAATTTATTACAAATTCATACTTGTCAGCCTACCGTGGTATATATATATATCGTTACCGGATTTGTAAACAATTCTTACAAAGGACCTATATTAAAATATTTACATGTTCGGAAGATGTGAAATTTTACACTTTTCCGAATTTGAACGCAGTCTGAAAATATTTATCCCCTTCAGATAAAATAACATAATATCATCATTGGAATCCTTTTAACGTCTTTCTTCACATTTCCTCACTCAAAAACTCTCTACCAAATTTTGCGGAAATTAATTTTTGGGAATATTTGTGTATGTATGTGTGTGTATATATACCGAAAATTTTCTTTGGGACAATGTAGATGTGTTGGAGGGTTTGACGGAAAACACAACATGAAGGACAAAGGACTCAATTATTAAAGTTTCATACAAAAGAACATACACACAAAATCCGTTAATATAGAAATATCCAAAGTGGGGAAAAAAAGGACAACGGATATCAACTTGGGGTAAATTTGTTTGCTGTTGTTTCAGCACATTTTTCCTTTGTTTTGTTCTGGTTTGCTATTCAACTTTGTTTTTTGTTGTTGATGTTATTTTAATTTACTACTTACTACTATGTTAAGTTGTTGTTGGTTTTGCTTACTTTTATATTTTTTTGGTTAAGTTGAGTTACTACACTTTGGTTTCTATTTCATTTTTGTTGCTTTTGTTGTTGTTGTTGTTTTTGTTTTTCTTTTGCTATGCACTTAAATTTTAGAATATTATTCTTTGAATATTTGTTGGCTGTTGCTGTTCTACTTGCTTTGTGTTTATAGGTATATGTGAGTAAGTGTGTGTGTGTGTGTGTCAGTGTGTTTTGCATTACGTGGGGAGTTGTTGTTGTTGTTTCCTTCATTCATTTTAAAAACAATGACTACGTCGTTTCGACACTAGCGTTGATTTGGTCGGTGTATTATCGTTGTCCTAAGATTTCTTAGCCTCGGCCGACCCAGCTGTTGAGGGTTTGCTGACACGCGATTTCTTCAGCAAGAAACACGTTAAAAACTCTATGGACGAGGTGACTTTCTGTAAACTTTCCTCCGATGATGAATTGGTACCCTCCAGGCATTTGCTATGCAGGCGATAGCTCATACTGGGCTTTTCCTTGGTCGATGTGGTGGCTGCAGCAGCAGCGGCGGCGGCCGCAGCAGCTGCTGTCGCCGTGGCACTACGTGGCGGCAGGGGCGGTGGTGTGGCTAACGATGCTGATGAAGTGCAAGGCTCCGGATGACGATAATAATTTTTACCGCATTTCTTCGACAAATTGAACAGCTGCATTGAGTTGTCAATGCTGTCGCTGGCATCGGGGCGATTCGAATTCAAGGCCGATACGAACTTCTGGGCCGAGGACGTTGTGGCCTGTCCGGCTTTGTCATTGTCACGGCTATCCTTGTTCGAACTCTCATACTGTTCCTCGTTATCCTCTTCGTCGTTCTCGGCCGGCGAGGTGAGATTGTTGTCCGGCTCCATGCCATAGCGGAAGGCGGATCTGTAGCGTGAGTGATGCCTTCCCTCGGGTTGCATCCATTCGGTGCCAGCCGGCAGCGACAATTGTATGGTCGGAGTCCGATAGTACTGGCGATGTGGATGGAAGCCCAAACCGAAATCGTCCATGTACGATTGTGAGTTGATGTTGTCCAGCTCATCGGCTACGCTGAGGAGAAATGGTAACGTTGACATGGTTTCCTTTTGTAAGGTTTGCCTGTAATTGGGATTTCCTCCAATTTTTAAAGGATTTTTACTAAGCACTTTAAAGCGGTTAACAACAAATTTCGTTTATTAAATTTAAACGGCAGTCCTTGGCAGCACCTTGAGGACTTTGATTTATTATTTTAAATACTGGCAGCTGTTAATACAACTACTGTTGCTCTTGTTTATATATTATTTTATAAAAAAGTATTCACACACTTTAATTTCAACTTTCAAAACATTTGTAGATATTTTTCACTGCTTCTTCTTCTTTTTACTATTTTCACTTGAGAAAATTGTGCACCAAATATTTGCTATGTGTGAAAGCAGATATTTTTATTGCCCGTCAGCTTGTACGACGACTGGAGGAGCGCGTCAACGTTCTTAACTCTTCGGTGTTTTTCTATAAACTGAAAATTGCATTCCCTGCAAAAAGGGTACATGAGAAACTCACAATCAGCAGGCACGAATGGCGCGCACACATTCACTCACACACTCGTTCGCTGACTTGTCTAAGATATACACGCAAAACGACCCCTTCGGACGGTCACGACGATGATGACGACGACAACGACAACAATGTTAATGATGGCTACAACGATACGGCAGTGGATACATCAGACAAGGCAACAACATTTGTTTTGGTTTACTCACAGCAGACGAGTATGTCGGTGTACCGTTATGTGAGGTATTGCTGTGTTAGTGTGTGTGTGTGTGCGACTTTGTACCACAGCAATTCCTAGAAAATCATATTACCTTACCCCTCTTCCCATAACCGCATGCAATGAACGGTTCTTTGCTACTGTTGTTTACACTTAATGTTTGTTTACATTCTCCAACTTGTTATGGGATTTTTTCTGATTTGTTGCTTATTCTCTTGATTCAAGCGCGCTCTCTCTCGCTTTGTGTATATGTGTTGTATTAAATTTCAGTGTAGCTAGGTTTTATGTATTTGTCACCCAAATGGTGGTGTTACCATATTGTTTTTGTTTATTCATGCCTGTTTATAGAGATATTTGCATGGGTGATGTGGCGTATACGTTCGATGACAACAAGTAAACGCAACAGGGTCGTATGATGTAAATTGTATTGTATATTAGTACACATAAGACTTATTTTATCCATACAGAGGACCTATATATGAAGACCAAATCAGGTTTTGAGAAAAATAACCGATATGACAAATTATAGCCCTTCTGTTGGAAAATACCGCTAAAACGCTTAGGGAGTAATAACGACACAATTTCAAAGTTCTATATTAAATTTTACGTGCTCTATTGTGACGTTAACGTTTACCCCTTAACGTCAAGGAAGTGCCAAACTCGAAATAGAATTTTCATTTAATGAAGAAAATATGTTTATTAATGACGTTTAACAAAATCGAAAATGTATATTTTCGGAAATAAAAACCAGTAAGGAAAATAGTAAAGTCGGACTGGGCCGACTATATAATACCCTTCACCACTTTGGGTATATTGTACATGTGTATCCTTACAATTGCATGTCAATGTTCCCCCGAAGGAACATAATCATGTCTTTCTACAACCTATGCTAAATTTAGTTTCATTCGGGCAGATTTAGAGTCATCTGCGTACCATGTGACAAATTTATGGAAAACGATTTATAACAACATTTAATCTCAATCAGACACTCGTTAGAAATATATATGGAAGCCATAGCTGCGTACATATGGAAGCCTACGTGTCAATCGGAAAAACATTAGGAGTTTGATGCACCATTTACGTAAAATCTGACAAATATATATATCTATATATATATATATATATATATGCCAAATTTTTCCGGCAAACTAACCAGATATATAGGGACTTTGGATCGGACGAAAATATATGGGAGCTATATATAAATCTGATCCGATTTTCTAGAAACTTGGCACAAATTTCACCCAAATTGGATCATAAATGCGACATGTACTTTGTTTACAATTTAACATCTACAGACGGAACTTAACACACATCATTCTGGACCTCAGAAAGTGATTCTATGCAAATTTCGGGAAATCCAAATATATATATCGTTTCCTTTTGTCTGTTACAAATATATGCACAAAGACATAATACCCTGTACCACAGTGTGGTGAATGGTATAAATATATAACGGCATTCCGTTTAATATTGATTTTATATACATTCCGCCTAATGATGGAGGTTATGAAAATAGGATGAAGTCTGCAGAAAAGTAATAAATCTGGCGATAAAAATCATTGACCACTTTTTTGGTATTCGGTAATAAAAATAAGTTATTGGAGCCATGTCAGAGCTGTACTGACATTTTGAAACAAGTTGTTACCTAGACCGATTTTATAAAAGTATTTCTTTTTACGGACAGTGTGCAAATTTTTGGATATGCCCGAATAAAAAGAAATTATTAGGTCCTAAGTCACGTTCTTACGGTCAAAGGGCGCCGAGTTGAGACGATATGCTAGAGCTCTCATTGGGGCACAATGTCCGGTTGATAAATTTCTTTAGGCAAACAAATTGTGGAGCATCACTTCGAATTTTCCTCCCTATGTTGATCAAACGTAACAGTCGCCACATTACCAGATTTTTTGTAGAAACTGACGACAATATTAATTGAAGTGATTTTTCCATGAAAACTGACTCACCTTCGATCTATTGCTATTTGGTTTCGGACTCATACCATATAACCTGAGCCGATTTTAGAAACTTCTTTCAAAGAACCACGATCGTAATATTTTAAAATTTTCTTTATAACACATTTTTAAGGGATTGGCAATTTTTTGGATCCAACGTAAAACAACTTTGTAACAACTCTAGTTTAGTAAAAACGATCAGATTTTTTTGAAATTTTTTCCAGAGGTTTGTGTCGATGTCTGAGATCTCACTATGCTCTTCTCTATTCCCACGTTTTTCAACCGAAACAGTTTTAGAGAAGAAAATGGATTATAATCGGTTTCGAAGTGTGTTTTCCACAAACATCTTTCGATGGATTTGACTCGTTTTTGATGTCCACCGCTTGATCTATGACTATTTTGTTTCGGGTTCGAAATTTGTAAATTATCTTTAAAGAACACATTTCACCAATGTTCAAATTCTTACTGCGGATTTTGAGTTGTTTCTCTTTCAACTTCTATACACTGCAACATTTCCAGATCATGTCTGGAAAAAATATCATGTCGTTCCAGAGTGTACATATAAACAATTGAGTTTTACCCGCTAAATGTTACGACCGATCATTACAAAAACGTCCATGTCTATTCGTTTCGAGTATATGCAATGTCACAAGTTGTTTTTGTTTATTGCATATAGAACCACCAAATACTTATTATTCGGCGGAACACTTTAAATCCCTGGTTATCTTCGCATTACAATTGATTCTCTCACTGTCTATGTGTCTCAAACATTTACCTGTATCTATTCGCTCTCACACACTCTCTCTCTCATTTTCACATACACATGCACGTGACTAGAGAAGAAATTCACTATTTACTTTTCGGCATTTCCCTTTTTCAATACATTCTCAGTTTATACAATTTATATGTGATTGTATAAGTGAGTGTGTGTATGTGTGAATGTCGGTTGGCCATATCAACTGCGTTTTGTGACCGCTTTTGTTTTTAAGCTCTTTTGTTTTGTTTCGTTATCCTAGAGTTAACTGCAGCAATTGATGTACTCTTTGTGCACCGAACACTGCATCAACAAAGCAAACTCCTGTGTTTTGTGCATTATTAATTGTCGAATAGTTCACTCACTCACTCGCTCTCTCTCTCACCCTTACTTTACCTATAGCCATCAAGCCACCTGACAAAAACTCAGCCACCCCATTTACAACTCAATAACGATTTAATCGTTTTTGGTGTAACAACTTCGGCTCAACACATTTATGGTCAGGATTCGCAAAGAAGGAAGAGGTGTGCAATTTGCTGTGTGTTTTAAACTATAGAAAGGTGTGAAGGGAAATCGTTCTGCTTTGTGATTTATTGTAGCTTTCTGTTTTTGTGGCTCATGGGGTTTTTGGTTATGATTTTTCTTGAGTGTTTTTTTAACTACTTTATGGTTATTATTTCATTGCTGTTATTTCCCTTCATTTACACAAGTCTTTCTTGCTTTTGGGAATATTTGATATGTTCACAGCTGAAAAGCAAGCCAGTTTTTTCGTGGAAAAAATACCCGGTATCTGTATATTTGTCTGTGTGTGTGTTCCTCTGTATACATGGGATTTTTGGTCGCACTTTATCATGACGAAGAAATGTAAAAGGAACCACTTGGGATTTTTTATGAATATTTAAGGTAGTTAAACCTCAATCGTGGTCATTATCATAATGACGATGGGGATAATGTTGGTAATGATGATGAATGGAATGATAATGACTGTATTAAATATATAACGACAATGTGCATGCTTATTATGCGTTTTACAGATTTTTTTTCTGAATGATATTGGACAGTCATACGTTCGTAAAATACGAAATATATCAAATCGGGTAAAACATATATCGCATCCGGAAGATGAAATATCTCGGTCTATAGCAGAACGGTTAAATTTGTTAGGAAATGTTATGACGCGATACCGAGTTGACCCCAAGTGTGTTCATTATAATATTTTTACCAAACGGTATAGCCCACATACATGAATATACGGGTAAGATGAAAAAACTGCAACCAACTTCAGACTGCTGTCATTTCTAAGCCGCTCATTCGACAGCTGCTAAAATTATTTCAGTGACAGTTCATTACATTGTTTACAAGCGCACAGAAGCATTTTGATGAGAATTTTCCAGAAAAAAGTTATTTGTGGTGGAATTCAAGCGAGATAGTATGATTTCTATATATTTGGCGGGGAAAAGTGGCTATAGTTAGAGCACTCCAGCATTTAAATGTGAATAAATCGGAAGAAAACAGCAACATCAGCAGAAATGGTTCGAAAAGTAAAGGCGCGACTTAACCGAAACTTGCGTTGCAGTGGCCGAAAAATGGCTCGTAAGCTGAACATATCGCAATATTCCATTCAGCAATTATTGAAAAGTTAGCTCGGGTTAAAGCCATTGAAATTCCAAAAAAATAGTTGGAATTGGCCGAAAGTGGTGAACTGCCGAATTTGGTTTACTTGCCAAAGAGGTCAGCAGAAAATGTGCAACTTCGGTTTGCCACCAGAGCTCTCCGCTCGTATTAATCGACCGTGGCATCAGAATAAATGCCGAATATTATCGCGAAAATATTCTGGATGGTGTGCGGGCACGCAAACATGTTGGCCGCAGACCTTGGACATTCCAACAGGACTCAGCACCATCGCACTCAGAACGCGCCAACCAAGAATGGTTACAAAATGAGGTTCCTCGCCTCTGTTTGGATTCATCTGTTGAATATACCTAAAGTGGTGAAGGGTATCATATATTCGGCCCCGTCCGACTTTACTACTTTCCTTACTGGTTTTATAAATTGACAACAAAATTAGGCGACACTGAATACCAGAGTGCGACACCACATATATGGTAAAAATAACAAATGCATTTCGGGATTAATGTGTACAACAAGGGTACGAACTTTCGGAAGTAGTATAACCTCTACCCCTCGATTCAATGCAATCTTCTGACTTTACGGACTCTACTTTCAAAGTAGAGAAACAGAAATGGGATCTGAATTCCTTCATATTCCCCCTTTAGCCATAGGGCTAAGGGTTTAAACTGAACTCTTGACAACCAAATCCATCATAAATATAAATTAATCCTAACATGTTGAGGTGTGTTTTACAATTCCTCTCTTATGAACATTTCAAATGACTTTTCAACAACATCTAAGTCTAGCGGCATTTTGTGTGAGAATATCTTTTGATAAACATCAAAGAGCTGTGCGCAAACAAATGTTGTCTACCCGGAACACTTCCTGGTGCTATGTATATTAATTGTCATAATCGTCGTCATCATCACCATCGTCATTGACAGCATCAATCTTTAAAGACATGCAGCTAAACTGGTGCAAAAAACTGACTTATTATTTGAAATTATTTTATATGGAACCAGTGAGCGGAGCAGTATAGTCGGACGCGGCCGACCATATGATACCCTACACAACTTCCACGAAAATCTAACTTCCTGCGGTTCTATATTCTGACTCTGGATAATATTTTGCGATATTGGCACTATCTTCACCGACCAGAGGTCAATATATTATTACTAACATTCAGTACAGTACTTCTAATTACTTGTCCAGATTTCCTTCACCGTGGGTTGTATTGTGATGTTCGGCTTTCAACTGTAGCCTATAGATGGACTCGAAAAAACACAAACAATTAAGTTTTCGGTCCACTTCATCCCAATATTATTATCTGATCATCAACGAAAGTTATAGGTGTCCTTGACCATAACTGGATCCTCATGGACAATTTCTAAGCCATCAGCGCTATATTTCCGCCCTCTAGTCTGGTAATGGGTTACTAAATAATATCTGAATACGTAAGCACCTGTAAATATTTAAGTGTAACTCCCGCATCCGAGTACATGCGACAATAAAATTGGTATCAATTTAAAGGTCAGCCACTTCTCTTAGATATACTATCAACTTCTCGGATCTATGTCCTGGAGGAGTAAATATATACGCCATAGAATACAAATTTTGTAATTTTTCACACAAAAGTAAGGGTCCATTTGACCCGCTAAATATTGACCGATCTTTATCAAAATAGGCATGCTGTACTTTGGCCCGATCCCCTTCTCCATGTAAAAATTCGCGATGTTTGGGCCATGGCATTCGCACTCAGCATAAAGTTTTTGTCCATTTCATCCCCTAAATATTAACCGATCTTTTCCAAAAACAATAGGGGTCTTCATTGGCCAGAACCCATTCTACATGCAAAATTTCGTGAAGATTGGTCCATAACTGTGGCCTGTATCGTGTTTACAAAATATAATGGACAGACAGGCGGACGGACGGACACACACGTCTAGATCGACTCAGTTAGTCGAGATAAAATATCGACAACTCTAAAAATATGTCGATAAATTGCAGCGACATTTTGCAGATTTTGGACATGTTGTACGATTTTGCTCAAATTTGATATATCGGGTTCTCATGGAATATCAAAAAATCATCAATATCATCAACGTGGTATATTAAGTTTTGGTATTTTGAAAATTTTATATACATACATTTTCAAACGAATTGGCTTAATTGGGTATATTCGGTTCTCATTGGTTGATTGTTGTTTATTACTGCCAAATTATTTTTTAAATTGCCAATATCTCTCCATGACTGACGATTTCACATAAGTTTTTCCAACGAGGTGGCTCAAATTTGATAGTTTAGATTTACATTGGGTGGCAAATGACCTCTTTGTGTATACCTTGAATGCCCCCCTCATGGTTGAGGGTATAAAATGTTCATGCGTACACTTTATGGGACATCCGATATAAAAATTATTATACCCGATTTAAATATAGTGTTCATCCTCAATATGGTGGATTTTATATGCATTGACGTGTGGAACTCCAATGCGATGAAGTAGTTGTCGTATAAGTAATTTAAATGTATTACTTATACGATATGTGTCCTACGGTACATTTTGTGTAGATCTGCCATTTATAGTGTCGCTGGTGTATTATTTAATTAAAATTAATATACAAATTGTTGAGTTATTCAACTTTAGCCAATTACAAAAATAAAAAGAGCCCTATATGTCCTTTCTTTCCAGTTTTTAAATTCAAGACGAGTATATCTGTCTATGACTTCTTACTTTTGTAGACAGCATTTTACATTCATATACCACCTTGTAGCAGACAACTTAAAAACAAACATCTGATTAACTGAACCAAGTCCAATAGTCTGACAAGATTTCGACATAATAAGCTGACTTTGCAAAATACAAATAAACTCATAAAATCCAATGTACTTCACTTGACGATTGTCTTTGGTAGTCGCACTCTGAAGTATTTTGACTACACCTAGGACATATTTAACTGCACTGCTATACATTCATACATACAACAGCTACAACTGCAATAAAAAAGAAAGCATGAAAATTGAAAGCAATAGACAGCCAACCATGCCAGCCGACAGACACATCAACATGAAAGGCAATCGCACTCTATAAAGTAGAAGAAAGAAGACGAATGAAGTGGCATCAATTGGTATTTTGAATTCAGTTGAGTGCAAATGCCATAGTTAGTTTAATGTGAAGGTATACAGTGGGGAGAATTGAAAAACAAACCGCTGTACGAATATTCAGCAATTGGTTACGACAAAAATGTGTCTATAATAAGAAAAAAATGTTTTCTTGTACTTATGCTTCTCAAAACAAATTAGAATAAAAAATGTGTATCATCGATCGATCGTTAAAATATAATTAAAACCAGCAAGGAAAGTCGTAAAGTCGGACTGAACCGACTATATAATACCCTTCACCACTTTGGGTATATTCTACAAATGTCTCCTGACAGACTCCGACTTTTCGAAAGAACATTGGCATCAAATTGAACGGACTTGAATATAAGCTCTTTATGCCCTTCTGGGACCTATGCTAAATTTGATTTCATAGAACCGATTTTCACGGACGAAATATATATAAGAGCTGTATCTAAATCTGGAACGATTTTCACGAAATTTATTGCACAACATTCTACACTATGCCAAATTTTGTGCAACTCGAAAGATATATATGGTGCAACATTTACATAAAATCGGACGAAACGATATATGGAACCTATATCTAAATCTGAACCGACATTCAAGAAACTTTGCACACATCATTCTAGACTCAATGAAGTACACTATGCCAAATTTCGTGCAAATAGAAAGATATATAGGGACTTTGGTGTAGCATTTACATAAAATCGGATGAAAATATATATAGGAGCTATATCTAAATCTGATCCGATTTCCACGAAACTTAGAACACATAATTTAAGACTCAATTCCGTACGATATGCAAATTTCGTGCAAATCGAAGGATATATAGGGACAATGATGCACCATTTACATAAAATCGAACGAAAATATATGTGGGAGCTATATATAAATCTGAACCGATTTTCAAAAAATTTTACACACATCATTCTACACTCAATTCAGTACCCTATGCCAAATTTCGTTTAAATCGAATGATATATAGGGACTTTGGTGTACCATTTACATAAAATCGGACGAAAATATATGTGGGAGCTATATATAAATCTGAACCGAAAAATTTTACACACATCATTCAACACTCAATTCAGTACGCTGTGCCAAATTTCGTGCAAATCGAATGATATATAGAGACATTGGTGCACCATTTATATAAAATCGGACGAAAATATATATTGGAACTATATCTAAATCTGGACCGATTTTCACGAAACTTTGCACACATGATTCTAGACTCAATTCAGTACCATATCCAAAACTTCGTGCAAATCGAAGAATATATAGGGTCTTTGGTGCACCATTTACATAAAATCGGACGAAAATATATATGGGAGCTATATCTAAATCTGAACCGATTTTTCCAATTGCAACAGGGTTCGTCCTTGGGCCAAATAAGTGACTTATGCCAACTTTCATCCAATTCGGATTCTTTGCATATTCTCAAAAGGAACCATGTGTCTATCTCGTTTCCTTTTGCCTGTTACAAACATATGCACAAAGACATAATACCCTGTACCACAGTGTGGTGAAGGGTATAAACACCACGCCTATTGTAATTAATGAAAAATAATTTAAAACAACTTCCAAGAAAATCTAACTTTATATGGTTCTGTATTCTGAGCATGGGCTCGTTATTCCTTGCGGAGGCAGGCGCTTGAATGAATGAATATAAAAATCTATCTGTGTCTGTAGGCTTGAAAACTTATTCTATGAATTTGCATACGAGTGTGTGTGTGTGTTTGTGCGTATATTTATTTGTTAACAATTGTAGAATGAAGGAACGGAATAAAAACATACAGAAATGTTAAATGTATTTGTACCATTGTTCACTGGCGGAGAATTCCCTTAATACTCCGTAACAATGGATCTGTGAAGTCTGCCGAATACAAAATGAAAAAAATGAGAAAAGACTATAAGTTGGTTGTCCCTTTAAGGGTTTTATCTTCTTCCATTCGTATAGCAAAAACAACAGCAACAAAAGTACTCACAATGATTTATGTCATTCGGAATAGAATGCAGCACTCACTCGTGTACACCTGAATTGGCAATTGGGGCAATTCCTTGGAGTATTACGTATATATGTGTGGGTCGGGCAATGATCGTTTTTTATTTAGAGGTAGAGTCGCCTGCCTCTATAAAACCCTATTTTATATTCCATTTAGAACGCGAAATCAGCATAAGGAACCGATATATTCATATAGTTTTAGAGATTAATTAAAGATCTGATTAA